ATGGCTGAGCATCTTGCAGAGTGTTGAAGAGCTTCAAGACTTGATTGATTTGCTTGCAGCTGGCACCTCATGGCAACCTGAACGCTGGATATCGCTTGATCTTGCCAACCCTGGACCACCCTGGAGATATCTTCATCGAGAATGAACCCTCGAACAATACAGCAGCCATATCTCCAGGCAAGATTGTCAATCTGTCAACCATTCCATTCCCATGATGTGGAACTTTGCCGAAGAGAGCCATTTGGCTTTCTGCACTTCTCCCATTTTTCCACCCGGGCGTGCGCCAGCGGATAGCTAATGCGGGAACGCGCCCTTTAGAAGCGTGTCCACCAAACCGCGTCCGAATCGAGGAAGATTTGGCGGTTCCCCAACCTTTCAACGTCAGTACGAGACTGACTAGGACTAGGTCTAGTTGGGTACTTAAGCGGTCCTTCAGAGCGCGGTGCGAGATTGATCCCCTAGTGTAGAAGGTACGTCAGACACGTGACATGTAGATGCATCGGTGTGGGCACATGGGGTTGCGAGTCGGAATCAGAACTGTAGGGTCTCTGATCTCAACTTACCGAAGGTATGTGTCTCAATGCCGAGTCACAACTCCAGGACGGCCTCGCGGGCCCCTCCCACCTTGGATGTGCATTGGAGCCGTGCATGTTCTTTTTTCAACGTTGTAAAGCCACCGATTGCAGCACTGTTGCCGATGCAACCCACCTGCTTCTGACCTACTTCTGGACACAGGGTGGCCGTCTTGGAAAGCTATAAGGTGCATGGCCACCTGCTTCTGAGCATGGTGCAAAGCCCACAAGCCGCTCTGCTTCTGACTCTGTCATGTGTGGATACACATATTGTTGGGAAGCTTCAACAATCTTGCTCTTACAAGTTAGATGGATCTTCGGCGATATTGGCCCCATCGAGCCTTGGGACGGCTCCGGAAGAGCAACTCCTAAGGAAGGGATCCCATAGCCATCCCATTTCTTGCACTTCATCCATGATTCCGCTACCAACTGTCAGACTTGGGGCCACAATGGGGCGCACTGCAACAATGCATCAAACTCCATCACCTCGCAAAGATAGATGGGAAAGGACCGGTGAACAACATCCCTCACCGTTCTGGTGCGTGATGCCCTCAAGATCTGGTATTCCAGCTACGCGACAGTCTGCGACACAAGCCCCAATCATCTCGTGACAGGGCCCCTTCCAAAACCGACTGTCGCAGCGCGAGTCGTGGAGATGCATTTGCTAAAGCCCGATCAATACCCAATCAGTTCTTACCTGGACACTGCAAAAGCGTGGAGGACACAAGAGATCACAACAGTAAATTTTGCCCAGGCACTCCGAAGCGGAAGTCGTGGCCTGACAGTATCCCACCAGGAGAGACTTTGGGCCACCAAGCCTTGCGAGGGAACTCCGGAGGCGGTGGGGCTCAAAGCTTGCTCGATACCCCAAACTTGTAGAGTCTTGTAGAGGTTGGCTGGCCCAAGTGCCGGCCTTGATGTCTGCCTTCACGGGCTCGTAGAAATGATCGGCATCTACGAAAACGATATCCGCAGCCTGCTTGTCGAAATCTAGCCCCGTCATGATGGCATGCCCTTAAATAAGTTCCTTAGCCATGCGTATGTGGATGTACTGCACTGCTCAACCCCCTCGAGGGCTTTTTCGAACAAGCGTGTTTTTGGGTTGACTTGTGCGTCTTCCGAGCTTCATGGCTCTTCGGTGAGATAGGAAGTTTCCGGATGCAGGACAACCGAGGGCATGGCATGTCATCTGGTCAGATCTGACTTGTACATGCGATCTTGGCACTTACAATGTGATTCGCCAAAGGCTCCGCTTGCGCAGTTATGCAATGCCGCATGTACATACGTGAGATTTGTTTTCTTTAGCTGCGAGACGACTAAGGCCATCGTAGCCCAGAACTAAAGAGCACCCCATGGGTGCGAGGGCATTGTAGCATATTGTAGCCCAGAGCGTGCTGTGCACTCATGTCTTCTTCTGTCGTTTTGGGGATGGTGTGGCAAACTGGTATTGCAATCTTCTGGAGCGCATTTGCCGCGATCGTTAATGCGCCGTCTCGGCAATCTCACGCTTGATTGGCTCGGTCATCTCAGCAATCTCCGAGAGCTCATTTTCAAAGGCAGTTCTGGTATTGGCAAGAAAGCGCTGTCGATCTCCAAGTAGGTATACAGGATCTCGTGCAAAGGCTCCTCATGTTGTCTCGTCATCATCAGATACGCTTCGAACAAGCAAGCCACCCTTATCTCTCTGGGCACCTTTTTCAGAGGATCTTCTCAACTTGGTGCGTGTGAGGGCATGTCACACTCGAGAACTTCGGTGTCTCCAGAGGCTGTGTATGATCTTGCTTCCTTTCTTTGCTGCATTCGCGTGCGCTGTGGTCCTGGGGGCTCGGAATGAACAGATGCTGGTTGGCACCATGATCCCCCACGGCCCAAGGCAACTCACAATTTGTGATTCCAGGAGAGCGAATGAGAACTTGGACACCACACGACACCAGACACCTCAGGCCTCAGAACCTTTGAAGTGCATCGCATCTTCTCGGCCCTTTTAAAAGGCGCGCCTCCTCCCCCACCACGCCGGCAGGGTCGTTGGTTGTCAAGGCCATGTGGAGATACACTCTCGGGCCCATGGCTGCACAGACCTGGAGGGTTTCTCAAAGAATGGACAAAACAGACCGCCTCAGCCCCTGTGTCCCTGCTCCAAGCTTTGCCCTCTGGACCATGTTACATCCTACAGGTAAGCCGCCCCCATCTGCACCCAAAACCAAGACCAACCGCAAGTTAGCTCCCAGGCGCCGATATGACGGGGTGCACCGCGTATGGCGGGGCGGAGCAAGGCTTGTAACCTTTCGTGGAGCTTTCGTGGACTTGGACTTTCTTGCTCTTCCAGGATCTCTTTGCAGGTGTGGATGTAGCCAACTCTGAGCTTTGAAGTGTTTATTCAGGCTTCCGCAAGCCTTCCGCGGACGGAAGTGGCTTCCGCGCAACGCACACGCTCAGTTGAGACCGGCGATGCAAACATTATTTCCGTACTTGACTATGTTGCAGACAACTAGCGCCAGCAAAAGCGCATCTCAACTCATGTTCAGTGGAGACTGAAACTGGCTCAAGACTTCAATGGCACTCTAAAAGTCATTGCAAACCAACTCACTTAGTCTACAGGCACGGGGCCTTCATTCACGCTCAGCCTAGAGGGACTTCGCAGCTTGGGCGTGCAGCGTAGCGTTGTACTGGCAAGTCAACATAATGTAAGGCAACATGCTAGGACAATGCAAAGACATTGAAGGCATGTGGAGGCCGTGCATTCCCATAGAACTTCCATACAACTGTCTCAGCTTTTGCTCTCATGACCCCAGCAGTCCTCATCGTAACAATCCACTGTGTGGATCTCGGAAAGGTAGCCAGATCCGTACTTTGCAAGGTATCCTTGTTATCGCACGGAATGCATGACGGCTTGTCGGCTCACCTTGAAAGAGGCTCCCAAGGCTTCTTATCACTGACTGCAGCTGAGTCCGCTTGTCAGCTCTGCCTCAAAGGTTCCCAGCTCGACCAGAACCTGAGCTGCCACTGCTCAAAACACTGGTGCGATGCGATTCAAAAAAGAGAGCTTCATCTGTGGCTCTATGAAGAGAAGTGGACCTGAAGTCGAGTCCAGGCAGCCAGACCGTTCCTGTCATCCTGCCTGGACTGGTAGGTCTCGCGAAGCAGCCGAACCAACCTGGGCGTAGGGTTTGGAGTTTGCGACGAGCTTTGCGCGAGGGGCTGTGAACATTGCTGGGCTTAAGGAGAGTGGGAAGTGGCAACTGGCGACTAGCATACATGTGAAGGTTGTCTTTGAACACACGACAAAGAAGCGACGTTCCAAGTAAACAAGCCTCAAGAAACGTTGTGCCCCGATGCTCGGAACCCATGGCCTCGAAATCGCCCCGGTGCAAGGACGGATGGTTGCCCATAGCGGTACGCGGCAGTCGCATGTGGGACCTGAGGCGTTCGGTCATGCACTTTTCCGAATCTCTGAGGCAGAAGTCCGACGCCTTTCGATCGAAACCTGAAATTTCTTGAGCTTCTGAAGAGAAGCAGTTGTGCTCAGCATTTCCTGTTTCATCTGCAAGTCTCAGCCCCTGAGGATCCCAAGCGTTGCGAATCAGTCGGTCGAGCTCACACTCCAGCGGCTTGTTGAGAGCTCAGGTCTTCACGGCGTTTCCCGGCCATCACCAAACAGAGTTCGCGCACAACGGCTTGCTGCTGGAGCCTGCATAAATCCTGGCAATGTGGTAAGTTTGTGTCCAAGGTGCAGTGTCGATTGCCTCCTTTCCCTACAGACATACCACCACCAAGTTACACCTAAATGGCTGTTTAGCATCAAACTGCATCTCACCGAGTCAACCTCGCCACCTAGCTCATCCACCACATCCAAAAGTAGACGACGTGACATCGCGCGAACTGCAACCTTCTTACCCATAAAGATTTGGCCTATCAATGCTTTCCATAGCCAAGTTGGCTATCAACAAGGGGCGCCCGTAAAAGCCTGGAAGTTAATTTCGAAACCAAGAACAACTGGGGAAGCGAGTGACTTGTTGTAATACAACCTAGAAGAATCACGCAACACAGCTACACACAACAATGCAAGAACAAATGTTCCATAGATAGTTGGATCATGCCAGGTCTCATAAACAGCAAGGGTGTCAAGACGAAGCGCCTCTCTCGCAAAACAGGGAGCACAACTCAGGAGGGTGGGGGGGGGGGGGGGCGGCGGCAAGGAGATGAAGCAGACGGAGGGAAAATCGGGGAAATCTGGGTGGAATCGTAGAAAGGAGAAGGAAAGAGGCCCAGAAGCGACAGTGGGCCCAGTCAACCAAGCAGTTCGGCTCGTGCAGCATAGCGACATGGATGAGGCCGCCCAGGGATCCCTCAGCTTCAGCTCGTTTAGCTCGTAGATCCAGGTGTTGATCACCTTGGCTGAGCAAAATCCGAGCCCTGAAAAGGCCCGAAGCTGGGAGCTCCGCTTGAAGCTCTCGACCTTCCAGCTTAACTCTTCGAAAACGAAGCTACTCAAGCTCCGTTCGGAAGTTCGGGATCCCAGTAGCTGCTGATACTAAGCCGGCGGCTTGGGCAGTATTCCGTAACGCCAACGGCGAGTGCAGAGCCGCTCGCAGCGTGGCGAACACATCTGACCAACCATGCCTTCACAGGCTCTCTGTGGATTTTCGGCTTGCTGGGCTTCTTGATCGGGCTGCGGCTGTGGTGAGGGTTCCAGAACCCTAGGCTTTACAAGACTGCGCTCTCAAACAAATGTACCCTCGAGGTACTTAGCCGCGGAGGGCCAGCAAAGCTGCGCAGGAATCAGTGGTGAGGACGTGTTCTGTCGCTCCTTAGCCGTTCTAGGGACCAGAACTCGGACCCGTGCTGACGGGGTCTGAGAGAGTCTGAGACCTTTCTGATTTCTTTAGAACGCCTCGAAGCTTCAAAGATGACAAAAGATATGACAAGATATGACACAAGCTTCCGCCTTCACCAGAGTGCTCTCCAGGCAGCCGTGGGACCACGTCGATGATGCCGCGCGAAAGCAGCGTTGCAGCGCAAACAGCACCTCGTGGATGTTAAGGTCAGTTTGGGCTACTCTTGCAAGGCTTCTGTTTCCTGCGTGTTGCCCTGCTGATGAAGATCACACGTGTTCGCCCTTCCCGGGCCCGCCTGCAGAAGCCTGGCAGACTCTTGGGCCATGCAGAACGCATATCTTGTTCGCGGGTAGACACGATTAGAATTCAGGCGCGCAAGTCCAGTCGCGTCAACGAAGTGCAGGAAGAATCCTTGTTCCTGGCTCACTTCCGTGAGGACGCCGTCAAGGCAGCAAAGGTGATGGTTCCAGTATCTCGACACGCCTCACTTGATCATGCTTGGGACTCTGCCTTTACATGAACATGTGAGGCCTGTAAAAGCAATCAAAGTCTGCCCAAGGCTTGCAAAGACACCGTCCTTTTCGTGCACTGTGTAACAATCTTCTTGGCTTCGTCCAACCTTGGTCTCCACCCCCTCGAACATCACTAACCCCGAGTATGATGACGGGAAGGAAGAGACATCAACTTCGTTCAGGCGAGTTGGGCAGGCCAGCGGCATGACTTAGAGACTAACTCTAACTCTAATCCTATCTCAAGTCTCAAGGTCCTAGATGCACGAAGCTACAGTTAGCCTGCAAAGTGCATTCATTGTACATTCTGTTTGGTTTGTTTTGAGTTGGCAATGCTCAATCTGTGACAATGTGGTCCACTTTGCTGCAATGGACTACCTGTGCAAAGCAAGCTTCAGATCACCTACTGCAACGATCTTGCTGTCAGACGTCTGCAGCATTTCCACACAGTTGCCGGCAAGAGTCCAGATGTGCGCAGCAGATGCATTTCTCCACAGTCACAGGAACTTTGCTGAAGAAGAACCTGAAAACACAGACATGACAAATGGACGATCACTCCGAACAGAGCAGCTTTTGTAAATGCACAACGCCACAAAAGTGTCTAGCTCATTCCTGTCACACCCCTGTACTCACATTCAGAAAATGATACCAACCGTTTGATGATTTTTTGCTGGCCATCACCAGGCGAAACCAAGCAACCCAAGCAGATTGTGACTCCGAGGTTCCAGGAAATAAACAGCCGGCTCCTCTGATGCAAAGGGCTAGGCTCTCACAGTGGCTGCAAATCTGCTACAAACGGAGAGAGGAAACCCGGTGAAGGCTGCCGTTTGTGCTCGAAGTATGTTAATCTTGCTCCAGATTCCTACAACGCTACGGCACAAAATGTGGCCAAATACTTCACTTCGGTCCCTATCCAATTTGGTGAACTATGGAGTGCCGGGCGTTGGCAGATTCGGAGGAGAAACATTGCACCCAACTGTAGTCGGGGAGATGGTCGGGATGTGGAACCCTGCTTCCGAACCTCGCTGCCCATGACACGGCTGATCCGGGACCATTTCGGAACCCGCACTTAGCGGCTTTCCGAACAGACTTGGTTTTGCTGTGCAGATCACGAAATGGTGCGCATGCGCATTTTCGTTTTGCAGCAAGAACATCTAAGAAGAAGAGACAACAACACCACGCACAATGACATCTTCTCGAGAGTGGAAGCGCACATCGGGTCGCGCTGTGCATTGTTTGTTAGTTGTTGCGGCACACATGCAAAAAAGGAAGAAACGAAGACAGGAAGAAAGAAAGAAAGTCAGCACGTTCAGAAGAGCATACCAAGCATACCACAACGACATACCACAACGGAATACATTTCATGAGTGATCGCGCTGCGCGATGCATGTTCTTCGTCTTGGTGGTCAGCGGCACGATAGAGCAGACATCATACGTCATGATGTGCACTTTGTAGGTGGCGGCAAGCACAACAACTATGCATCGAGCCCTGCCGTGCGCATGATTGCCCAGCTAACTACGGCTTCCAGCTTCGGATTGATGATCAGCATTGTGCGGTTGTCACTTGTGGTCTATGCTACTACCTGTGTACTTACAAGGAGCCCATGAGTATACGTGAAACATCGTGAAACCAGGAGTTCCGGCACCGAGAAATTAGAAAACCTGTCCTGAGATTGTTCAGAGAGGGCAAAAGCTGTGTCAAACCTGTTTTTGCGGGTGCACGCCCTGCAAATGCCACAAATCTCAAATTGAACGCCTGCCAAGAGAGCCTCTAATTACTCTAATTAAACCTCAGGAAGGATTCTTCTTGCAAAAGTGAAACCGTGTAGATGTCGGGTGCGCGTCACCAGATCACCACATCAGAGCTGACATAGCTCCTGCGCTGTCAGTTGCAGCACGCTCCACCTGGGTTTGATGGCATCAAAGAAGCTTCTGTATAAGACTATGATATTCTGATATATTCTGCATTGAAACGTGTGGATCGCGACAAATACAAATATTTCTGAATACAACCATAACAATGATAGGTTCTCTCCAAGAAGCAATGCAAGCCAAAGCGGCATGCTGGAAAAGGCCAACATGCCAGAAGACCAGGCTAGGCAAAGCCAGACATGCTGTCCACAGTGAAACATGCAATCGCCACCAGTTTCGCGTGCCAATATCATGTGTAGTTGATGACTGCCAGTCTGGATAGTCTGTCATGCAAGTATATTTATATTTATATACGTATATTTATATTTATATACGTACTTCTTTCCCGTTTCTTGCAGCAAGCAAGCTGAAGACACATGAAATCCATCCAGAGGTACGATGTGGGAAGTATCTGCGTACTTGCTGAATGCGAGTGGGGAAAGGCGGGAACGACGGGCACGGCGTCTTTCTTTGTGGGCCAATTCTGCACACTTGAGCCTCTGCTGGAGCATCTGCAGGAACATCTTCGGATGTCTTCGGGAGGTAGACCACGCTAGTCAAGGAGGCTGTACCCCGCCAACCCCTTGTGACACCTAATCATTTGAGACAAGTTGCCCTCAAGAAGTAAGCGACCCTATGGCCTATGGCTTCATCCCTCATAGGCCAGTCAGGCAAGGCACAAAACATCCCGGGTCCAACTGCAACTGAAACGTGCTGGGAGGGTGCGGGTTTGTTGCGACTCTACAGTCCACCACTCACCAACACCACAACCACCACCACAGAGCACCACACTCCGCACTCCACCACCAACAACACAACCGCCACGCTCCACACTCCACCACACAACCCACAAATGCGCTCACGGAGAGCTTCGTGAAATGCAGTGTGTTAAGGGCTTCAGTGCATGCCGAAACCCCGCCGCTCACCGCTCTCTTGCACCTTCCCCCCCTTCCCCCGACCCCCGCCCCCTCTGCCTGCCCCCTCTTTAGGCCCTGGCCCCCACCACTTCGTGACATGCAGTGCTTTAAGCGCGTGCCCAAACCCGCGCCGCCCCTACCACTCCCACCGTGCTCACCCCCCTTACCCGCCACGACGTCCTCACGGTTAAACTCTGAACTCCAGCGCTATCACGATTTACAGCCCACTGATCGTGCACAACTCATCGTACCACTTGTGTGCGGTTCTCGATGAGAACTTCTTGGATGTGCCTTTTGGGTCCGTGATGTCCCACGCGAACTTTGCAAACTGCTGCTCTAAAGATTCCTGGATTCCGCAGACCTTCAGGCCATGCATCAGCACTGGTTCCGGAGCATGTTGACTCTCGATGTTTTGAACAAGCACCCTCGAGGCAGAAGCAACAGTGGTTACGACGTTGTATCTTTTGAATGCACTTCAGCTTACAAGTAGCAAGAGCCTTTTGAATTAAATTAAAATGTTCGCTGCACTGCGTCGAATTCCTTCAACAGGACATCCTACATACTTACCACCCATCCTCAAGGGGCCATCACTGAGAAGGGCCGACACGGTGGTCCGCTAAACCAGGAAACAGAACCCTAATGTTCTACCAACGAAAGAACTACCAACGAACGCACCACCAACCAACCCCTAAACATTAAACTCTGAGCCCGAAACCCCACAACCTAACCCCAAACAGAGTTCAACGCTTGACTGAGGCCTCAGATGCTGCGCGCCTCGCGCAGCGCGGACCTCGCCGTTCGTGTGCCATTGTGCTTTGTGCTTGGGGGCATGCCAGGGCCGGCTTGCGACTTGTAGCTGTTTAGGGTTTGGGGGTTCAGGGCTTCGGGCTTAGGGTTTAGGGTTCAGGGCTCCAGGGCACACCCTTGCTGGAGGTCTCAAGGTACTGACAGTTGCAGGAAACCCTTGGAAGAGAGTCTTTCAAAGTGTATCGCAAGGGTTGAGGTGGTTTGGGATTTAGGGGGTCGTTTAGGGGGTCGAGTTGTCGAGATTGCCGTTATGCCGATGTATCCTGGGACTTGCGACAGATGCGTCCAGGAACCGAAACCCTAAACCCTACACGCTACACCCTGAACCCTGAGCCCTTATCTGAGGGACCGGGTTAGCATAGGCGTTGCGGTACTGTGAGATAGGTCCGATTCAGTTGAGGTCCTGGCACTATAATGTCTTCTTTTTGAAAAGCGTGGTATAGGGTCGAAAAGGTTTAGGGTTTTGAAGATTGGCTGAGTCTGCAGGCCTTCAAGGCTCAACTTAAGGGCTAAACCTACTCTGCTTCTCTGTCATCCCACAACTCCCCAAATACTATCCGCAGTCTCGCCGAGCCCAGCATCTCCGACCAGCTTCTGTTGTCCACTCTTCTCATCCTAGCCCCGAAACCCCAAACCCCGTAAACCCTAAACCCTATTGGCCTACATCATAAATATTCATAAATGTGGGCTTACCCCTGCAGGTTCAGAGTTTAGGGATTAGGGTTTTCACCACAGATGCGGCTTGGTAGGCAGCAGGCTTCTTGGCCCGAGAAGTTCTTACAGCGGTGACGCCCCGAACTCTGCCAACAAGCTCTCCAGCTTAGGCAACCTGTACAGCTTCAGCAACTCGGAGCCCAATAGTTCAAGTTCATGTGGTTCACATTCCGTGGGCAAACCAGCAGAGGACCGTCCTTGCTGAAGGCGGTGTGAGAGGATAACACAACCCTGAGCCAGGTCCCGCCAAAGAAGGCTCGCGAGGTCACCCGGCAAAGGAACCCGCCGCAAGTACGTCTGCGCAAGCCCTGTTGAACTCTTCATCCAGCTCTCGAAATGCAAACCATTTACCCAGCTGAGACGCAAGCGTGCAGGATTCCGGGGCGATTTCGTGTCGAAGCTGTTGTTGAGCGATGTGTGGCAAAGCATCCTTCAGGGATTCTTGCAATACCTACAGCACATACTCGAACGTGAATAAATACATGTACATCTGCATGTATGGTATATACAAAAGCTACTTCAAGATACGATGTCCCTAGCAGAAGCATCTAGACTGTCCAGGCTGTCCTTGTACGCAGCCAGCGCCGGCTCTCGGCGTCCTTCGCTGCGCTTTCGGAGCGCCTGAGCACCACCAGGCCACAGTTGTTGAAGCAGCGCAAGGCCAGGAACCATTCCGGAAAGGCGACTAGGAAGTCGATGATGGCAGCCCACAATCCAGGAAAGGAAGGAAGGTCAGAGCTGCCAGAGGTCTGGTCATTGTAGCCCTTCAAATCGGGATAGTGCTCGGCGCCCTCATCCTCAAATGCATTAGTGGCTGTGTCATGCAAGACAATGTATCGCCTTACGCTTGGGCCCAGGAGGGAAAGCTCCCGAGACAGCTGTGGGCCGGCATGCAAGGTGTCAAGGAAAAGCAGATCTGGAGCCGGTAGTGCGCCCTCTCCTTTGAGCTTCACCTCCAGAGAGCTTTGCTGCAAGAATTGGAAGCTCGTTGCTCCACACTGTGCAGCAAGGCGTTCGAGCCTGTCCACGAAGCCAATCTTCTTTGTGATGTCCACAGAATGCAGACGGAGTGGACGCGCACTGAGGAACGCAGCGGTGGATGACCCCTTCTGCACGCCACACTCCAGGATGTTTTCAACGCCTTCGTAATGACACTTCGTTCGGTATTTCTAGAGCCCTCTCCCGGGCCACCCATCTGAATGGGAGACCTCACTCCGGTGTGGGAAGGAGCATCAGGTGACCCAATTTTAAGGGGTTGAGCCGGGCCCTGGAGTTCGTCCCTAAATCAGATACAACCCAATACAACCTACACCTCCAAGCCCAAACACACTAAACCCGATTCATCACCGGGCCTTCCTCCTCTGCCAGCGCATGGAGACCTGGGAGATGCTGATGGATGTGATGACTACAGGTCCTCCCAGACCCTGTCCAGTTGAAGCCTTTTGGCTGCTTCCTCGGATCCAAAGCAGCCTTTTTAAGGTTCGACTCCCGCGGGATAATTTAATAATTAGGGAATGTAGTCTGGTAGTGCTCTAGATGGGTTTCCCCAAAAGAAATAGCCAGAAAACAGTTCCGATTGGAAAAGCAAGGTGCCTCCCACGCCAACACACCGCTTGACGACCCTCCGCGAGACCCAAATATGCCCTATCTATTTGTGGCACGCGCCATGATTGCGGACCTTGCCGCCCACCGCAACTGGAAGTGGCACGGCAAAGACGAGAACAATCAACAGCAACTTCAACTTCAACATGCTGTGGGCAAACGAGAGCAAGCTCGCTTCAGCCAAACGGGCAACAGGTTTGGCATGGCAATCCAAGACAAGAGAAGATCTGTCAACAGCATGCTGTAGGAGCTATAACCTTACTACACCTGGTGCCGTTTATGCATGTGTCTTGAAATTCGCCTCGGCTTCCTGCCGAGAAGCGTCTAGAACAAGCAGACCCGGATCAGGTCTCCTTCCCCTAACCCAACCATGCAAAATTTTGTGACGGACCCCCCCCCCCCCCCCCGCCCTGTGGGACCCCCCCCCCGATCGCTTGGAGCCGCTGCAAACCGATGCCGCAGAGGGTCCTGTCTGTCGGCGGCTCCTAGAAAGGGAGGCCTCAAAACTCACCGGCGGAATTTTGTGCCTGTCCCCCAGGCCGACGTCATCTCCACGCTGCATGCTCTGGCCCGGCCCGGCTGCTGAGGCGGCGCGCGCCAGCGTTTACAATTACTTCAAGTCTCAGAACACTGAGCTTTCTTGCTTCAGGCTGAGGGACAGAGCTTAGGGTTGCGTAAGGTCCTCACCCCTGCATCCAACACCCGCAACGCGCCACAGCATTGCTGCTCCCAAATCCATCAACCTAAGGTCTCGCATCTGTTCAGCCCAAAAAAACCTGCAAAGCCTTGCACCGATCCCAAATCTACAAAGAACTATATCAACTAGACACGTGCATGCATCAAACCATGTATACACAAAGCACGTCAAGACACAGGAGGGATCGAGGAGCGTGTCTTCTGACTGGCAGCAGGAAGTTGGCGTAATCTTCGGTTGATGGCTTTTCCGAAATGACCATGGTACTTTTGTGTAAATGGCATGCTTCATGGAAAAGGTGTCATTCATCACCTGTACTAAAACGAAGTTGCATATATGTGGAATGACTTTGGTTCGCACGGGCAATTCTTGAAAGAAATGCAACCTTCTGCATGCACGATCATGTTATGAACAGGTACGCTCAGGTCCCGGGAATGAGAAAACCGTAACGAAGTCGGTCCCGAACAGAAGCAGTCAACCGCCGTACATTATCTCACTGACTCATATTGTCATCGCAACAGAGAACCTAGCAAAGCTTTGGCTCCCTCACTGCTGCCCGCCTGCCCTTGCGAAAGCTCCCCCCCAAACAATGTATGCCCAAACCGCTCCATTCCTACCCCAACCCCCACCTTGAAATCAAGTGTTTTTGGGGGGTCCGGTGTATGCCCAAACCCCGCTGCCCCCGCCTTTCCCCCGCCCCCCCCCGCCCGAAAGCCCTGAATCCAACCCTGAACCAGTAAACTAAACCCACAACTTGAACCTAGGCTACAAACTGCGGCTGGGCGGCCAAAAAATCCATGTGGACGACAGCGGACAACTACAGAGATGCAACGGGACGTCTGTTCGAGCATCTCTCAAGTAAGGGTGCTGCTTGGTTTCTTCGGGCGCTTGAGAGTTCAGGAGTTGAAGGACGCTGACAGGCTCGGCCAAGATTTTGCAAATGCCTGCGGCAGCAGATCATGGGCTTGTGAGGTATGGAGAACCTTGTGCTCATCCTGGTGGACCTGCAAGTTTCTGAGAGTCCCAGGCATCAAGTTCAAGCTGAAGTCAAATTCCCTAATCGTGGGCGCTTCTGGCAGCAGATCAACTGGTGGAAGGGAAGAGGTGAGAGGAACCTCGGAAGTGCACGGACCTGCAGAGAAGGGCTCTAACAAGGGCGCTCAACAACTACAAAAGACGGTTGTCCACGCCGAATGCCAACCGACATGTCCGACTCACACATAAAGTAGATACAAGCCCTTAGCATGTAAGTGAAAACTGCTCGGAATCACACGCTGAAGCGAAGAATCTTCTTGTCAACTCCTTGTGGCTTCTCATACAGCCAGGAAGCGGGCTAGCTACTGCTCTGGCTTGCCAGCACTGCAAACGCTCATGCATGCATCCTCCGCCACGAGCTTTCCAGCGCCGTTCCACCTCTGCCATGTCTTGTGCTGCTGCCGCAGCTCCCATGCATCGATGCACCCTGGCTAAATAGTCAGCCAGGGAGAGTCCCCTAATTAGCGATGCAGTTCAGACAACCCGAATTAGTAGTTCGAGCAGATTCGAGCAGCATATGCACATGTCATTGAACCTGGACTCGCATGCGATTCGCAAGTGCCATTGTTAGCCGCTCTTAGCGCCGATGCCGTTAGGCCGCCTGTGCAACGCATATGAGCTGATGTGAAGAAGTTCCTGTGCAAGCTGCGTATGTCTGCATTTTGTGGCCGGCTCCATCAACTAGCCCAGCTGCTTGGCAGCGGCGGATTGGCGGAGTTCAATGAGCCTTGAAACCGGCCAGGAATTAACTCCTACATACTCCTACGATCGCTGCGCTGTCATAGAATGGATGGGGAAAGCGCTTCCCCATCGAATCACCCACTTGACATCCTTTACTTCTGCCATCCAATATCTGAAGATGCAAGATGCCAAGGCAGGCTATCAGTAGGAGCCTTTTGTTATGGGCAACCCCCAATCTAAGAACTCTCCTGAACATTTCGAGACGCCTTCCCCCCGAGGGCCATCTCAGCAGACCTTGGCTTCATTCACAGAACCAGCAGAGGTGGTGGGCATTGCGCAAGTGTCCACCCATGCGTTCACTCAGAGGGGTCCTTTGCCTCACTTCACTGACTTCACAAACATGTCTCGGCCGTGCCCCTTGACCCACCATGAGCAAATCAGGCACGGAGCTGTGAATCTGCACATGGGCATGAGTCCCAATGTTCCCGACTGGGGGCAGTGCTTCAACTGGCAAGATCATGCCTCCTCTCTTGCGGCCACATCCCGGAAATACCTCTGCAAGCTTTCCGTCTGGTCCACCGTGGTCCGGCGTTGGGTTTGAGATTCAGGGGCGCGTGCTTCTCAAACCCAAGTCCTAAACATTCCCAGCCTCCCAGCCCTAACTGTACCCACCTATATCTGCGACGAGGGCATACTTTTCAAGGGTTTTGACTTGGACTCCCAAAACTCGGGGCAACAAGGTAACAGAAGGTTGCAGTTCGGCCGGGCTTACGTCATGAAGCTGACAGGCTCAGCATGGCCCAGCCCTCAAAATCCTCAAATCAGTATCGCAAAGGCCACAGCTTTTTTCATTTGTGGACACGATTCTTGCCTTCAACCCCGTGGCTTTCAATGGCAAGGGTATACTCCAGAAGTCTCCAAGCCCTCTGATCAGCACAGAAGCCAAGTTCAACCAAGACTGCAACCTCAGCTGGGGTGTCGTTGGCTCTTGCCCCTATGCCTCTACAGACTGTCTAGATCTAGATGATTCGAGCAGACTTCAAGCCGCTGACGGATGCTGCAGGGCCTTGTGGGCGCTGATGCGCCTGGAGGCATCAGGGCGCTGGTAGACTTGATGAGATCATGTGAGGGCTTTGGGCATCTCGTGATTTCTCAGTGGTTGAAGAGCTTCTGCAACTCTCACCGCAAAAGCCGATCGTTCATAGGACTTCAGCTTGCAAGCAATGGAGATTGGAATGCTTGAAGCCCTCAGACTTTCAGTGCCTCCTTGGATCGTAGTATGTGAGCTTGTCCAACAAGTCAACGCCGTCTTCGCCAACCTGAACACGCTGCAAGGCATTTCGGGGAGCTTGAGAAGCTATGTGAAGCCTGACAAGATCGGGGAAACCAGCGCCCCCGAACAGGTGTTGCGATGTCAAAGAGTGTCGAAGCAACAAAGTGTTGGCCAGAGAATTGTAGAGGCCAAGAGGACATGCCCACCGCAGCTTGTTCCAGAGTATCCAGGTGTTATCCAGTCAGGTTCGGAGCTCAAGGACACAACAAGAGACAACTTTGAAGCTCCTTCACGCACCTTCGCTGAAACTCCCCCCCCCCCGTCTGGCAGCCTGCGCTGCCGTATTGCGGATCGACGACCAGGGCTGCGCTGGCCAAAGAGGAAAGGTGGGCCTGAGCTGCTGTTGTTCTCAATTGAAGGATCAACAGCTTAGGTTTTGATAGAGTTTTCATGCGCTCGGCCGAAGCGCCTTGGAGCCTTAGGGTTTTGGGGCAATCCCAGACAACGTCTGAAATATGCTCCTGGGCAGGCGCTTGCGTGATGACTACGAGTACAGCACTGTAGCCTCCTTGCTGTTGTTTAGCATTCTGTGAGTCGTTCGTAATTTCAAACTTTATACAGACTCTAGGCTAGCGACATCGACTTGAGCTTAAGCAAGACTTCGGCGGCCAACACAACCCCGCATTGGCCATGTAAAAGTTCAGCTTCGACCCTCCGAGGCCTCAGTGTAAAAGATTGAAGAATCTTCTCAAGTTGCGCCACACCCTTGCATTTGCTAACGGGTAACAACTGAATCCTTCCATGCCGGTCCAAAGCAATTACACGTTGAACTTACGTATGGTATGGCCTTTCTAGCGGTCTTCGAGCATCAGGGCACGGGCAAGGTGGTCGGAGGATTGGCTTCTCTTTTGGCTTCATAAAGTGGTCGTGATGCTGTGGCCAAGCGAACTGTGCATGACTGGAGCAAAAACAATGGCATAACAGCCCATTTCACTGTTGCTGTGACTTGGCTGGTGAAACGTACCTGTTACTAGTAGTCCGAACATGTGGAAAGTCATGCTCCACTGACAAAAGAACCTTTGTCGCCATCATTGGCTCGGTCTCTTCTTCTGCAAATCCAGCTCTTTTCCTTGAGTAGACCCATGACTTGAGCTCAAGCAATACTGACGTTTCCCGCCCTTCTGGTTGTCTTCAGATCTCACTTCCTGTTTGCTCGTCAATTCATCTATCCGATCTGTCACCTCTTGTGTTGCTTGTCTGATCTGCCAGAGCGTAGCTGAGGCCTGCTGAAACAACCTGGCACGTCCAGCAATTACAGGCTGGAACTGCATCAGGACGCGTTTACGTAGAAAAGCCCTTGCGCCAGGTTCCTCCGGTCGCTTCTGTGTGAGTGTTTGGCTCTTCCAATGGCCATGTGCACTTGTGGTGTGCGGCGGGTACCTCCTTAATCCTGATCCTGTAGCTGCCTGTTCTCTTGCTTCTATGAATTCTCTGCCCTCCTCCATCTCACGCCCCTAGGATTCCTTCCCCCAGTCTGTTCCATCACTGGCACCTATAGGTTTCCATTGCAATTCTGCTGTGGTCTAGGTACCTTTGGTGCTGAGCTTCCATCTTCCTGGCAGTTCTTTCCACAGCGGGCAGTAGCCCTAGGAGATACAAAAGACTCTGTTTAGCAATCAAAAAAATGTCTAGTAATTGCCGGGCGTCTTGAAGTCGGGAAGCTTTGTAAGGCCCGGCCAAATATCCTGCGCCAAGAGACATGCGAGAGTGCTGGGAGTTCTGGAATCTCCCCTCATCAGTTCTCACCAATTCCCAAGCATTGCTTGCTTCTGAAGGTTGTGCGTCTTAGGGGGGTCTTGTGCGAGCTGAGCCCAAAAGAAATTACACGCTTCGGTTTGTGGTCATTCTACGGTTCTAGCTCTCGACGCTTGAAGCTTTGTAAGGCATTATGAGTTCGATTCAATTGTCGGGTGTCTCGCATCTGGGCAGCCGCGACTCAGTTCCGGGCAATTCAGGTTCTGCTAGACAAGCGGATCCAACTTGAAGAGGAGATTTGTGGCTCTTGAAGGACAGCTTTAAAACTTTAGGCCACCGTTCATTTATCTTGCCCCTCAAAGCCTTGCACTGAACAGCGAAGGGATGCCTCGGTGGGGGTGCCAAGCTTCTGAAAGATCCGAAAGATCGTGTCAATCTCCTCGGTTGCAGGAGTGCGAAATAGTGCATGTGTAAACAATGGTAAGCAGCGGGTAATCTGTTGAGGTCATCTTTACACTTTCACTGCCTGGACAAGAAAGAACAACTTCCACCCTTTCAGCCCAAAGAAAACCGGTTGAAAGTCATGCTTTATTAGCATGCTTTCGCGCCAGAACTCACAGTAGATTAATGTCGTATCCTGATTAGTCTGGACCCCTCCAATAATGAAAAGTTTTCCAAAAATTATTCAGGAGACAAAAATTCGATTGCCCCCCCACAATAAAGTGAAGTTTTTCGGGCATGGGTTTCGGAAGAGAGAAAAAAAGAGAACAAGATGATGATCTTACCTGAGCTTAATTACCTAAGAGGAGAGGGAGAGGAAGAGGAGAGGGAAGAGGAGCGAAGAGGAAATGAAGAGGAGCCGGTGGGGGGGGCCCGGGGCCGAAAATTAGTTTGGGGGGGTCCCTTTTTTTGGTGACACTATTGCGGGGGTGGATTTAGTTTGGGGGGGGGGGGGGGGGCCCCCCACACTTATCAGGATACCACATTATCCTTATACGTACAACTTGGTGTCTGAAGATGTCTGAAGTCTCGCTGCGAGGTACTCAATAGGTGAACTAGGTGAACGAGGCCAAGGATCGGAGTCACCAGCGAAGAGGGGTCTTCCCGTTGCCATCTGCGCACGGCCAACATTGATTGCTTGTGGAACAGCCATGGGAGAGTCGAAACATGCACTCTTAACTTAAGCAGTCGTCTGGCTTTCAAGTCACAAGCCCAGTGAACTCACACATGCGCAAAAAAACTGTGAACATCACGGAAGCAAGGGTCATCCGACATGGCTGCACATGTGCGCTGATTCTTCTTGCCAACCCGAGATACGTCACAGACCCTGAACTGTTTCAGAAGATCCATTGGCGACTTCCGACTCTGCCACAGTCACCACCATGAGCGTGGTGAATCTATCGGGAAGGCAGCCCCTTGCATCATGCTGAAGTGCGGCTGTGGTCCTCTGCGATCACGCAGCCGATGCTCCACAAATCCACCGGCAGACTGTATCTGAGCAAATCCGAACATGGGATTGATTGGATATTGGCTTTTTCTGTCAGGCACTCTGATTTCTGTCTGACACACCTTGCGTCCTGTTTCAGGGCCCAGATGCCTTCAAGTCAAGTCAAGACTTCACTTCGGAATCTGCGAATCTGCTGGGGCGAGCACATTTGGCTGCCCAGCAAGATCTCCGGCGGCCGGTACCAAACTGTGACGACTTCGTGGGTGTACCTGCCGGACATGTTCTTTTGCTTGGGCTGTAGCTGCTGTAGCTGTAGAACTGTTAGCTGGCCGAAAGAAGCATTGGAGAGAGAATGAGCACATCATCTTTGTGGTTCCTGCTTGGGCTGCAGATCTCCAAGCCTCAACATCATCTGCATTCTAAATTGGACCTACATGGAAACTTTTTGAATGCGAAGCTACTTGGATGCCTGACACTACGATGGGGTAAACAAACGTTTCTACAATCGGGGCGCCCATGTGGGAATGCCACTATCTTTGCTCCCAATGTCTGGGAGCCGGGATGATACGTTGAAACTGACGGGGCCTTCTTGACATAAGACGTCTCTGGATTCGTACGCCTTTGTTATCCAGACGTCGCTGTCTCTCACATGGCTGTGAAACGCCTAGGCTGAGCATGTAGGGATGCTGAGACGGGCCAATGCCACGACATGAGCTCCCCGCGCTTTGCTGCTCTGTGCTCGGGCTATCGACTTCGGAAATCAAAATTCCTAAGCAATCGATGCTTAGTTCATGCTGCTGCTGTGCGATCTAGACTTGTGACTGTCGCAACGCATGTCATCTCCAAGATGGAAGTCGCCAGTGGGTTGAAGGGTCCCACATCCTCTTCTCCCCACCCAGCCCATCTAAAAGCGTCTTTCGACTAAGGTCACAATTCAAACGCGAGTTGAAACCGTCGAAGATTGTTGGAAACTTCGACGCTCGGTTGCTGAGGACAAGCGGCTCGGCAGGCTGAGGTGCGAAATTGCAAAAAGGACTCTATACAACTGTAACAATACATAAGCCAGAGAAACTTCTGCTCCAAAATGTGGGTATTCGGGCTCGTAGATACGAGGTATCACGCCTTGCCCAGTAAGTACTGTGTAGTGGCTGCGTGACTGAAGCAAGAGATCCTTCCTCTTGGTGACATATCTTGCGGTAGCTTGTGAATGAATGCTCACAATGGGATTGCGCCTTACCAGCCACAAGGGTGACCTCCTCGCCTACATCTGGCTGCTTGGCCTCTGTAAGCCCCGGCAGCGCTTGCAAAAGCTGATGCCTAAAGTGCTGGGTACAAGCAGATCATGCGGACTGAGGGAGTGCGACACGGACTCCCGTCGCGCCCACAGGGAATCAAGAAACATCGTCATGCTCTTGAAAGTGGTTTCTTGAAACTTGCTCTCAAACTATTCCGAACATCCATGCTGTCTACATAGCCCTCTAGGAATGAACTTGGGCACTTCATGGTAGGCCTTCAACTCCGGTTGTCCATTTCAATTTGTATTCTGCATTGCTTATTCTTATAACTCTTCTACTCACGGCACTTGGGCAGTACACCTGCTTGAAGGCTTCACAGCTTTGCAAGGCCAATCCGGTTGTACGGCTCTGGCGGGATTGTCTCCGAACCGCGCGGCTTCATCCCCGCCTGAGCAAGCACTGCAGCTTGCAACTGAGCCACAAGTCGTCGCCACAGTGCAAAGATGTGAGAAGCATGCTACGCTACCGCCAGCATCATCCGATCGTGTGTGACAGGTCTTAACTTGTGCATGCCCATTCAAGCCTACAAGACAGGGGAAGCATCTGCAAAGCTCCCCACGGTCCTTCCGGTATATGTCGTCCAACAAGGCGGAATTCCGCACGGTGTCCGATGGGCCCTTGTTGATGTAAGCCCACGGCATGCCCATGTTCCTGAAAGGGTAGTCAGACAATCTTCATTCTGTACTGCTTCGGCCTTGCGGGCCAACGTAAAGCGCGGTCTACTGCTGGATACAACTCATTTAGCGATCGAAACTGTGAGAATGACCGCATGGTCCAACAGCTGTGGCGCAAGTGCGCGGCAAGTGATCATTATGCTATGAGATGCTGACGAGGAACTGTCCACGCTCTTGGTGGAAGACTTCATCTACAAAGGACATGAGCTGATAGTAGAAGGTGTCGCCTGCACATGGCCGCCCAGCGCCAAACGGCGCAAGGTGATCCACAATTTGGATGTATCGGGCTGATGGAAACTTGAGGACCCGCTGATTCCTCGTGCTTGAGGGCTGTCTGTCTGGGTCATGTAGGCATATGAGGACGCCCTCTCGCAGGGTGCAGGCACGCAGATCACCAGGAAAGTTTGCAAGAAGCCGAGGCCAAATGCACGCTTGCAGGTTGCAATTCCGAAGCCGCTTTATATGAGCCTACCTGCGGCACAACTGCAGCTTGGTCACGATTCACCGCATTGTCCACCCTCTCCACATACTTCTCACCACTCCTTAACTTGGTAAATAAACAATATCGTGATCTGTGAAGATGAAATCACTGCTGCGCGGGACTGGCGACACATCCACTCCGAACATTGGAAATGAGACGGCGGCTACTGGGGCCTGCCCATCGACGGCAATTGCTTATTCTGACAACATTGAATGGTCAAAGGTTCTTCTCACTAGTCCACAGTGCTCTGCTGGCATGCAACAAGGCTGTATAGGGCCTGTAAACGCTGGCACATGTCATTGCTGCGATGCACAGAAAGTTGCTTATGAGCCAGTCGGCCTCAACGAGCCGAGAGCTTTGGCTGGAAAACGCAAAGCCCAAAGAAGGCTCACAAGACGTCTCGAAATGCGACCCGAGGTTCTCGGCAAACTGCTCTAGCGCAATCTCATTGGAACTTTTCCCTTGGCCGGTGAACCACTCTCGCACACCTGCAGTGGCATCTATGTTTTTCTGGTAGCATGGACGATGCAAGGTGAACATGGTGAAGGAAGTGCGGGGATCTACAACAGAATTGGAGCCTTCAGCGAAGCCTTGAGTGGTCATGAAAGTATGCTTGCTTGCCCTTGGTTTGGATCACTTGTTCCTAGCTAGGGTTCACTGGTTCGGATGCTAGGGCCAAAGGTTTACATAAGGATTGGCTAAAGTCTAACATTCCATCAGCAAACAAAACCAACAAGGGCACTGTGAGCTGGGCCGACGACGTATGATGCCATCGGTACCCGAAATCGTGAACTTCCTTAGCGGAGGCATTGTGGCAGTTCCCAGGGCGGGAGAACCATTGCTTCATGCTGAAGGCTGCAGAAGGCATTTTAGTCAGAAACACTTCCAAGTTGGCGCTTGGCGCCGTGTAACATGGACTGGAAATCTGAAAAGCTGACATGACCGGCAAAGTGGTGCTTCTTTTGCGGCTGGCAGAAACTTGTCAAATGTTAGCGGATATAGCGGCCCTTGTCATCGTTTTTGGAAGACGTGTTGCGTTGGAGGTGCAAAAACCGCCCTGACATTCAGATCGGGCAGCTGCTTGCACGCATCTTCGAGGTCGTCTCAGCTCCATGGGGCACAACTGGGGCAATCCTCACCTCGAGGACAAGCTTCTGCTGGATTTTTTGCGGAGGAAGAGCATCATGAGCCAAAAGGCTGGGACATGATTTTTGCCCCTGCTGTGCTAGAACCCAACCATCCACTCCTCAGGCATTGTGATGGTCTTTGATGCATGCAGGTGTGCCACCTTCAAAGCAGGCAGATCGTTGAGTATTCAGAAGTAATACCAGAAGCCCGCGAAGTTTTGCCAGACCTGTTCCTGTCCTGTTCTACTGTGCTCGGCTGTGTCTTGGGCGCCTTTCTTTCAGCTTGCACTAAGCCTCTCCGCTGTCCTGTCCTTCTCCGGCCGTACCTGCATTTCCGCGTATCTCTTTCTGTGTTTCTTTTGCGGGCAGGCCGTTACTCAGAGTCTTGACTTCGAAGCCGCCGTGAGGTTTGCTCTCTTGCCCCTAACTCGCAGACGTGAGGGAAGGCTTCTTTGGCTCAACGCAAACTCAGGCACCGCCCAGCAACCAAGGGTTGAAGACAGCCCGGGTGGCAATGCTGAAGTTTGGAAATGCTCAAAAACGTGGTTATGCGCAGTTACAATCTGCCGTCAGGGCCGGCACACATCCCTGTGATGCTGGAACAGCGAGCTCAAAGATTACCGAGATCCAGACCTCGGCCTCAACATCTTGCGCAGTGTTACGAACCCACAGAAGGCTTGAAGCAGGAATCAATCAACGCCCAGACCAACCGAAAACCTCGCTTAACGTGCTAACGTGCAAGGTGAGGTTCGTCGGCGATTTGGCCATCTGAGGCAGAATGGAACATCCGATGTGAGCGCCTGCACCACCTGAGCTTGTGAGGCCGGCTTTCAGCCCGCCGTCCCCATGATGGCACTTAAGGCCTCTACTTTCCGCGTGCTTTACTCGGAGCACCTCTGCTTCCGCTACAGTATGCTTTAAATTGATCTCTGCACGTCCTCGAGAGAAACAAACTCCATTTCCTCTACCTTTCCATCTTCGATTTCCTTTATATGTTGATAGACAGCCTCGGTTGTCTCTTCCGGTTCGATATCCCTAGTTGATTCAGTAGATGTGTCACAAGAAAACTCAGCTTTCTCTAGTTTTGACATCGGGATCTTTTGCATCTTCGATCCCCTCCAATGTGCGACTCGGAAGCACGGATTTCTTCGCCAATAGAAGACCCTTTTCTGCTTGAGATTTTGAATAGGAAAACTTCCAAGGCTTTGACAACATGATTTCTATAGTTCAACAACACCTCAGGGCTAACCGCAAATCCGCCGAGGCCGGAACCCTGAGGCGTTTAGTCTGGGGAACCACTAAGAAGTGTAGCCACCCCCGACCCCCTCCGCCTGCCCACATTGAGACCCCGCCCCCCCCCCGCCCCCCCCCCCGACCCCCTCAGCTGCGCCCCGCCCACCCCCCCCTAACCCCGAATCCAGACTCAGCCCTAACCCGTAGCCCGTGCTTCCTATAACAAGCCTCGAGCCCAAGCCCTAACCCTGCCCTTAAGCCCGAAGCCCTAAAGCCCCAAGCCCCAAGCCCCAAGCCCTCAGCCCTCAGCCCTAAGCCCCAAGAGCCCTAAGCCCTAGAAGCCCTAAGCCCTAAGCCCCTGAACCCGAAGCCCTAAGCCCCTGAAACCCTAAGCCCGAAGCCCCAAGCCCTAAGCCCTGAGCCCTAACCCTAACCCTAAGCCCGAAGCCGTAAGCCCAC